CGAGGTTGTGTGCAGTGGGCCACGTGTGTGTGTGTGTGTGTGTGTGTGTGTGTGAGAGAGAGAGAGAGAGAGAAAGAGAGTTTCTTGGCTGTTTGCCAATTATCGTCAGGATTTCTTTTATTTATTCCCGACGTAATTACTGAGGGTGCTAGACTGCTAGTGAAGCAGGACGTCATGTTGAATTCATTCTATTCAAGTGCAGTATCTATTTTTGTTCATGGGAGACATTTTGTGCAACACTAAGGGATGCCGGCTTGGGAAGTTTACATTGTTTTCTGTCCGAACAAAGGTTGCTTCCTCCAGCACATGTCAAATATGTATTGAGTGCATGCGGTCCTTTGGGACATCTGTCGAAATTGGAACGATACAGAGAACGAAGATTAGCATGGTCTCGCAGCGAGGATGAAATGTACCAATTGTCCAATTCTCTCTTTTTTGATTGAAAAGAAAAATTATCGAGTTTATGAATGAAGTGTGTTCATTCTGGACGGCAGTGTGGCGGAAACGACAGTGGTACGGCCGATGCTGTTTTGTTTTGTTCGAAACAACAGTGGTACGGCCGATGCTGTTTTGTTTTGTTCCTCTCCCCCCCCCCCCCCCTCCCCCCGCCCCGTCTTGTTCTTCTTCATCAAAAGGGTGATGACCTTGAGATGTTATCCTTGAAGTGACCGGACCCAGATAATTAAGAAGTGTATCTGCACATCTGATTGCATCTGGGTTCGAACGTGGGTTTGTATTTCGCAACAGTTCATGGGTGTATGAATTGAGCTACCGTCTTCACCCGAATAGAATGCCCGGTAATTATTGCCGGTATCTGGACGGAAAGTTGACCCAAGTACAGCTATAATGACCGGGTGTTCGGTTTGGGTGAAGACGGGAGGCGCGTTGGTGGTATGGTAGATATTGGCGTGGTCGATGCTGTTACCTCTTGAAGAACAGTATTCATCCATCCCGAATAAGTTTATAGTAGGTTTGAAGCATACTTGCAAGCAGACGGACCGGACGAGTGTCCGGTCTGGTCCGTTTTGCCGCGTGCGGCACCCTCCCCCCGGACCAGATGGACCCGGGCCGGACCGGACAGGGCCATTTTTTTGGGGGGGGGTGAGGGGTGGGCCATAACTGGTCGTCGGGCGCACATTCGTGCGCCGCACGGGTCCGGTCCGGCGGTGTGCCGCACGTGCGGAACCGCCCGGACGGTGTCCGCTTGCAAGTATGGTTTGAAGTGCAGAATCGTAATTTGCATGTCGTGGGTTCGAGTCCATCTTCATCACCCAGTCGTCTATCTGTCTTCATCGTGCATAATGGACGGCTTGAGTCAGTGTGCAATTCTGACGATGGATCCTGTAGTCTGGGCTTTTAGTGTGAATGGAAGCATTGTACCTGTCTGCAGTCGAAGAATGACATCTTTTGATTTCTTTTCTGTTTTTTTTGTTTTAATTTATTTGTTGAAAAATCAGTCTCCGACTCTGCAATGGAGGCTCCCACGCAAAAGGATTGCAGCGAGATAGATTTTTTTTTTTCGTAGACTGTTTTGTAGTTTGATTGCTTATGGTTGGTTGAACTTGGTTCCATGTTCACAAGTCCATGGGCCTCCCACCACTACCCGACACCCAAAAATGAATCTTGATCTGTAACTGGACCCGGTTCGTTCACAATGTTCAATCAGTTCGAATGCATCTGGAGTTTATTCTTTGCTGATGATACATGCTGAAGGTTGAGTAGTCGAGCGAGACCTCGTATCCGTCAATGTGTAAAAAAAGAAAAAAGAAAGTAAAAAAAAAAGAAGTGCGTTCCTCACTCATCCTTGTTTTCTCATTTCACTCATCTAGTTCCATCTGGATTCGAACTCAGGTATGTATTTCAACTGAGCTAGGCCCCATACCCGTCCGTAGTACTTTTTTTGTCTGAATAATGCCTGGGAATAGAGTCAGGTGCATTGTGGTTTGGGTTGTGGATTGGGCAGTGGACTTCCTGAAAGTGTACATCTATCTGGTAATCTGTGATTTGCTTCAGTCATGCACTCTTGGAATTGTTGTTTGATGATACTAAGCTTGCTTGTCGTGGAGAATGCAGGTGGAATCTGGCCACAGGTACGTGCCACATTCATTCATCCTAAAGATGCCCAGGGATTGAGTAATTTCTTTTGTTGTTTAACACTGTACTTGCGGAAGCATACGTATGTAATCATCGTTTGCTCCAGGCATGGATGCATGGAGTTGTGTTGTAGGTAGGCTGATGGTACTCGATACCACCTGGCAGTCTTTTTCCATTTGCGCAAAGAATGCGCGTGATTTTATCCATGATGGGTGTGCATGTCATCGTGCTCCGTTGGCGGCGAGCGGTCGGTGATGGGTGTATTCGTTGTAATGGGATGTCGGTGTGCATGTCATCGTGCTCTGTTGGCGGCGAGTGGTCGGTGATGGGTGTATTCGTTGTACCTTTATCTCACCTCGTAGGCCGAAGGCGGCGTCATACGTCTACGCTTTCCATCTTCATATGCTAGATCCAATAGGACTAGGAGTCAGTCGAGCCGCTTGCCTTAATGGGATGTCGGTGAAAAGAACTGAACTGTATCAGGGGGCTGCTGATATGATATGCCAGTTTTGTGCACAAGAGCCTCTGCACAGATGTGTGATCTGCGTGGAGCGACCCTTGATTTGATGGGTAAGAAGCTTTAGAATTGCAGTGACGTCAACATTCGAGGCAACTGACCATGGAAGGACGGGTAATGGGGGTCTCTCTCATGGGGAGGACACCCCCCCCCCCCCCCCCCCCCCCCCCCCCCAAAAAAAAAAAAAAAAAAAAAAAAAAAAAAAAAAAAAAAAAAAAACGCAGATGGCACAGCTGATTGTGTCTGCAGCAGCGATGACTCTACTTCACGGCTGTACTTCTCAAGCGTCAATCTCTGCAGAAGTCACCCGGCGAAGAGTGGCTACACGCAGACGTCGCATCTGTGAAGAGGATGTCGGCGGCAAAGACTGAATCGACGCCGATGGCTGGCATCATATGAAACAACCCCACAATACCGGTGTTCGCCAACAGCCCTCGACTACATCTTCATCTCATCTTCATCTTTTGCTGTTTAGCGCATGAGTTAGCAGAAGATGATGGAAGCTGTACCTGTGAAGAAGATTTTCAGCTATATAGCAGATGTGGCCTGCCACTTCTGCTATCGTCCCAGGCCGGAATCGAAAAGTGATTACCGCGTATAGGGGTAAGAGCACATACATGGCTCGTGAATATATACGCATAGCCTATAGCCTCTGGGCACACATATACACAACTATGATACCGGGCTGGGGGGGTATCAGGTACATGACGGGGTCTAGGGTAGGGTAGGGATATAAGTCGCTCCGGCTAGTCTTCCCGCGCGTCAGCTTCCTTCGCTGCCTGGCCGAGTTCCGCCTAGCCTTGGGTAAGTTAGGTGAAGGAGGACGGTAGGATGTGTCCATGGGCGACGGCTTGCCTTGCTTAGGTACTCCTGCTGGGTAGACTCTCTGAATTGGGCCCGTAGAGGATTGAATGAGGCTGGCGTCCGTAGTTCCCGTACGGCAAGGTTCCTCTGCTTCTGCTTCCACTAGGGCTGGGGGGTTGGCTTGCTTAGGTACTCCTGCTTGTCACTGCTGTCTCATCCAAGTTGCCCTCGATACTGCTGGTAGGGTGATGGTTCTGAGGGCTGGTTACACTGAGGTAGGATAGTAGGGACAGGGGGTGCGCTGGGAGTATTAACGCGGGGATGGGTAGGGTAGGGTAGGTGGCCTATCCTGTCAGCACAACCATTGGCGAACCGCTGCCAGCAATCGCCGCAGGTTTGGTCCTTGGCCATTACAAACACTGGCGGCTTAATGGGCTTGTGAGTAGGGAGGCCATTGCATCTCTGTCATGGAGGGCATGAGGTGACTATACCTTGTGTGAGATTGCGACCATAGGAATGAGGATATCTTTGCGATTAGATGATGCCAGACACGTCTATAGCCCTGCGACCAAAGCCGATCGAGGCATTGCTGGTACAAGTTTCATAGGAGAGAGTAGGTTTGGCCTTGCATCTGTTTGAGATGCGATGTACCATGGACAAGGGGTGCAGTTGCCTTGCCGTATCTTCAACTTTACAGGTGTGGGGTTTGTCCCCTCTACTGTCTTCATGCGAATAGAACGCCTGGTAATTATTGATTGCTGTATATGGGGTGAAAGTTGTGCCAAATACAGATATATATATAACGACCGGGCGTTCTATTCGGGTGAAGACGGTAGTAGTGACCGAGTAGCTGCTCTGCTCTGGGAGGGAGTTCCTTCTGTATTGCATTCCGTACTTCATGGCAGATTCAGTCTTGCGGTGTTGATCTGTGGACAGTGGGCCTCTTGTTTTCAAAAAGAGTATGTTAGCTCCCTCTACTGGCAAGAGTACGTTAGCTCTCCCTCCTCCCCTCCCCCCGCCCTTTTTTTTTTTCTTTTTTATTTGGTTTGGTAATGCCAGCTTTTAACATGCAGAGACATGTATAGGAGTGGAATGCCAGCTTTTAGCAGTGCATCGACTTGCAGCATGGCCAGGGCTGAGAAGACTACCATCGTTGCTGGCAGTGACAACGCTTGCGCGACGCAATCCTGGCTTGACGATGTCCAAGTGGTTTGCTGTCCGTTTTTGCCCACTGGCATGGCTGCGAAGTCACCGTCGCTGCAGTTTACTGACCTGTGAACTGCCATAGATGGGATTTTTTTTTTTTTGTTGTTGTAATTTGGACCATTTCTCGATTTATGCGTGTCATCCTTGCGCAGGGGCCATGCTAATCTTCTCTGTATCGTTCCAATTTTAACGGATGTCCCGAAGGACCATAGATGGGATTTTTAATTTTTTTTCCCCCTTTCAAATGAACCTTTCGCAGGTTCACCTACGGAGGTTCACCTACGGAAACCCTGTTACCTCTTCTCCTTCCTCTAAATGACAAGGTTCAGGTGTAATGAACTTCCGTCAGGACCCCCCAGCGGCATGGCTGGGAAGATGTGCTCGCTATGGTTGGCTGTCTTATGCACTGCCATGCCTGCAAAGTCGCTCTCCCCCGTGGGCGGTTCGGCACAGTGCGATGAGCTGCGATGTCTCCCTCTGCGTGGTTCGACAACGTACGGTGAGCTGCGGTGCCAAGATTGGATATCTTTTTTTTTTTGTGCAGAACCTTATTTTTGTGTCTTTTGATATCTTGCACTGCCATGGCCGGGAAGTTATCCTCTTGTGGTTTGCCGTCTTGTCCGCTGAGAAAATTCTGAGGTTTGCAAAATTGTCCCTCCCTCCCTTTGGACAGGAACCAGCCACGCATGCAAGTGTGCGATGCGCTGCGAAGCCGAAGGTTTTGGTTGCTTTGCTTAACTGGTGTAGGGATTGTAACCGCGAATGGATCTTGCTGAAAAAAGAGTGATACCTTCCTCTGCTTGAGTTCTGACGTCAGGTTGTCGCTGGGGTGTTCGTCCCTCCGTGCTATGTGCTTGCTGGGCTACCTTCTTCCCCCGAATGCAACGTAACGATCATTATAGCTGTATTTAGACTGAAAGATGCCCCAAATTCTTAGCTATAATGACCGTATGTTGTATTCGGGGGAAGAAGGTAGCTTGTATTGGGTTTACTATGGTCACAATGTCTTTCCTGTTGGTGGTTTATCTGTTTGGCTTATCTGTTTGGCTTATGGTACGCCTCATCGGTGAAGGCTTGTGTTGTGGTAGTCCTCCCTCGATCAAAAGCTTGTTTGTAGTTTTTATTATTGTGGGCTAAAGGAGTCAATGAGTTGTCCTGTGGGTTTATGGACGCTCATCGGTGGGTTTATGGATGTTTGTGTTTTTGTTTTTTTTTGCCTGCCGATTTGTGTGTAATGTGCTGGAAACGCATCACCACATGGTGTTCACATGTCCTTTTCTGGTTGGATCTGTGGATGTCGGCCGCGTTGGCTGGTCGGGTTGTGAATTTGAAGTCTTTTTTAACCTCTCCATTCAGTAGTGGGTACAGCTGTTGAGCGTTTTCTTTTTCTTTTCTTTTTTGTGTGTCCTGCTTGTGTTGTTTTCTGCAGAAGGGATGTTTGCCCCGCCATTCGTGAGCAGGTGACGCAGTTGAGTGTTTCTTTTCGTGTCAGCCTCTCCGTGTGTCTTGCTCGTGTTGTTTTCTGCACGACCGATTTTTTGTAATATTTTACTGCATAAGGGTTTGCAGGCACTCTGTGTGTGTGTGTGTGTGTGTGTGTGTGTGTGTGTGTGTGTGTGTGTGTGTGTGTGTGTGTGTGTGTTTGTGTGTGTGTGTGTGTGTATCTGTGTGTGTGTTTGTGTGTGTGTGTGTGTGTATCTGTGTGTGGTTATTGCTGTGTGTGTGTGTGTGTGTTTGTTCTGATTGTGTTATTGCTGTTCTTTCTATTCATGCATTAGATGTGTGTGTGTGTGTGTGTGTGTGTGTGTGTGTGTGTGTGTGTGTGTGTGTGTGTGTGTGTGTGTGAGCCTGTGTGTGTGTGTGTGTGCGCGCTTTCGTGTCAAGCATAGACTCCATCTGGCCGCTCACTTTGTGATTATTGTCATTTTTGAGGGCCAAGTGTCATTTTGAGGGCCTAGTCTGTTCATTGCATCTCTTTTTCTCTTTTGGATTCCATCTATGTCATGTGGTCAAGGTGAGAGAGGGTTTGGTTGGTTGGTTGGCTGGCTGGTTGGTTGGTTGGATGGATGGATGGTTGGTTGGTTGGTTGGTCAAGAGTTCAAACTATGGCAGTAGTCATAGTTACAAAGCAAGTGCTGGCTGGTTGGTTGGTTGGTTGGTTGGCTGTATGGTAGTTAACCTGGTTGGTTTCATAATTAGTTAATCTGGTTGGTTTCATAGTTAGTTAAACTGGTTGGTTGGTTGGTTGGTTGGTTGGTTGGTCAAGGCGTAACAAAGCAAGTGCTGTTTCGCTCGTCTGATTTATGAGTTGGAGTCTTGATTCCAGTTTTTTCTTTCTTTCTTTCTTTCTTTCTAATTTTTCCTTTTTATGTCACGGTTCCAACGTATCGAGAGGTAGGGCATACTCACACAAGGTCTTTCCTGGACGAACGTGGCTCCATCTGGGTGCATCTGACTGCAATTACATTCAGAGGTGACTAAGAAAAGTCATGTTGTGAGTGAGTATGTATGCCCGTATTGTGCTAATAATAGCCGAATATAATATGTCCTCCTTATTTTACGTTCAACATTGTATATGTTATTGTATACTACTATTAGATTACCACCAAGTGTCGTTCTCCGTATGGTACGAATTATGCTGCCCTTATCATATCTGGTGCGTGCAGCACCTTTATAAACCACTGACTGCTCTTTATATGCTGCTAAGTAACTTGTCACGTTTCAATATGCTTGATGTTCGTCTTGCCTGCAGGGTGTTTCTGAAAACCCAATTTCGGTTTCGGCACGGGGACACTCTTCACAAGCGCTTTCTCTAAAGTCGATAACTCCAATCGGCGATGCTTAACTGGGTGGTTTATTTAAGGTTAAGGTCAAGGTCAAGGTCAGATTACACCCCACTATATTTATAGTGGGGTCAGATTACACCCCACTATATTTATAGTGGGGTCAGATTACACCCTACTATACTGGTTAGCTACTAGTAGCAGGTGTCTGGTAGCATGCCCGCATGCTCGAAACACTTTTAGGGCCCTTCTAGGACCCCCCCCTTCCTCCCCTTTTTTTTTTTCTGTTTTTTGGGTTTTAGTTTTTCCCCTGTCATCATTTTGTATAGCACTTCCGCGTCTCGTCGTTCTCATGACATCAGCCTCTAACTGATGGCATGAGATTGAAGTTGACAACAACAGGTAAATGGGAATCTAGCCAGCCAAGCCTCTCTTCTTCACTTGCTGCGGTGTTGGTGAACATAGACACAGGGGCTGTCTAGTTCCTTTCGGTTTCGGCAAAAAAAATGGAACGTGTGTATATGTCATGTGCCCAAGCCCTGTTGCATTTATCCAGTCAGCAGGGCTGACTGAAAATCTGCACGATAATCGTCGGTTTGTCCTTTTTGTCCTTCTCCGGATTCCCCTCTCTCTCCCCATTTCCTCCTCTCTCCTCCTCTCTCCTCCCATCTGCCTCCTCTTTTGCCTCACCTGCTGCCTTTTCCAGCGCTTCTGCGTGGGGACCCTCCGTAGCCGATAACCGTCATTGTTGGTTCTGGGAGGGGTTACCTACCCCTTGTGCTTTGGCACGATGTATCTGGTCCTAAAAACAGGTTGCGTTCTGACCCAAAACTCTTTCGATTTATCGAATCCGGTCTCCGCTCCGGCATTTGTTGTTAGGGAATGATGTCGGTGGCACTTTGCTGTTCGATCGCGTGCGTCTCCTTGTGGTGTGTGGCAGTTGTGTGGCAATTGTGTGACTTTCTGCCACATGGCATAACGATAGTTCTTTTGTTCAATTTTACGGGACTCGTGTTGTGTATGAGTTTTTCTGTTAACGTTCGATTATGGGAATGGTGTTGTAGTGTCCGTACTTTGGTAATGGCTCGTATAGCGGTTGCTGTGCAAAGACAGCATCTCATCAGTTAATGCCGAAGCTGTTGGAGAGGTTGCTTGCTAGAATTGGAACCATCATTGGGGGATAACGGTGAATGGAATTTATGTTAGGGGGTGGATACATGTTTGGGTGGGGGGATCGGAAGGGTACTAGGTAGATAGCTGAAGACAAGATAGATACCTGCTGATCTTTGTTGAAGAAAAAGGATTGCAATCATCATGCGTGCTGTCGCTTCTTGGGCGGGACTGGCAGCAACCACATCAGACCATTTATATTGCTTCTCTCTCTCTCTCTCTCTCTCTCTCTCTCTCTCTCTCTCTCTCTCTCTCTCTGTGTGTGTGTGTGT